TAAATGAATTTTTAGGAAATTGGGGAAGTGCAGAGTTCAATATTCTGTTTATACCAATGAGGGGAAGAGAGAGAGTAGGCGATAAAAAGAGTACCCGAGGAAACTCGTGACATAAGCAGAGTGAGAATAAGAAGAGATGGGAAGGACTAAGGAGAATAAGAGTGTGGCTTCTCAGTCATGACCGCCGTTTATGAGGTTAAGATAACTAAAATTTATATAATATTTTTTTAAAATATTAATTTATTTGATTTAATTAATAATTATGATTAATAATTAATATTATAAATAATTTATATTAATTAATTAATAAATAATAATTAATTAATTAATTAATATTTTTAAATATTATTTTTTAAAAAATAAAAATTTAATAATCTTGACATTTTATAAAGTAATCATGATCTTATCCCAAGTATAACTGAGTGCCCGTGGAAATAGCTGACCGCGGGCATAGGTGGTGAGAAAAGGTTAGAGGGAGTCACAAGGTATTGACTCGGATTTTGGCGCCAAATTTTGGGGTGGAGCCCGCTGGGTTATGACCTCAGTTTTCTTAATCCATAAGGAATATAACTGTCGGAATACAAGTCCAAGTGTAAAGATGAATTAATTTTTTTTCTTTATATTAAGGTTGAGATTCGTATTTCACACCATCAAATTATAATATAATATGAGAGTTTTTTTTATAAAAATAAGGTAATCAACTTTTTTTTGAATAATTTATAATTTCAAAGGATTGAGGGAGAAGATTTTTTTTCAAAATGTTAACGAGATTTAAAACTCTAATTGATTAATTTAAACGTCTTAAAATTTGGAACAAACTATTCAATTTGAAAGGTTAGTTCAAGGAAAATTAATTTTTATTTTTGAACAAATTTACAAAGATTGTATTCAAAACGTTGCCAAAAAAAAAAGAGAATGCATTTAACAGGTGACCTGAGGTCATTAAGCCGAAGTGCAAGGAAAAAGGAAAAATAACTTTTAGTGATATAAAGTTTGGAACATTTAATTTTAATTTTAAATTAAAGTTTTAAGTTAGTAAAAATTAATTTAACTAAGTTCTTGTTAGTTAATTTAATTAGTTATTAATAATAGTTATAAATTTTAATAAAATAATTTATAACTATTATTAATAGATTGAAATTATTTAGTAAATTCTTTTTTTTTTTTTTGAATATATTTGCAAGGGACGGGTTTCGAATCCAACCCGGGGGAGAGGGGAATATACCGGGGTGGCTATTGCCACTTGGTTGCAAGGGTCATGTGCATTTAGTAAATTCTTTTTGATGTCATAAGAATTATAAATTAATAAAATAATAATTAAACTATGTAACCATAATATTAACAAATTTAATTTGTTGCGATAACTACAGCAGGTGCCCGGTGGGGTCCTATGAGTCATAAAAAGTCCTGGTTTTATCCCGTTTCCCGTTTACTCACATGCTTGTCTCCAAAACTCTCCAAGTCTCCAACATTTATTTGATTGATGTTACTAATATTTACATCAGAATTATATGAGGATAATAATGCGGTTTTTTACGTTCACATTGTGCCAAAATATGTAAAATAAGGTCATACATGATGACGTTATTTGAGAAACGTGAGAAGTTGATGATCTTATTCAAGAATGATTGAAATTTATGTTCTCAATTGCAAATTGGATGCAAGGTTTTGATCTTATTTTCACTTTTCCCTAAAAAAAATTAAGTTTAAATAAATTAGTTTATTTTTGCAAGAGTTGTATCATGATCATAACCCACAAGAAAAACCACTTGAAGCTGAGAAAATTCGTTATTGACTGTATGCTGGTAGGTGTGGACCGTCTGGTATCCAAATACCAATCACAGTAGTATTGTTTTAAAGATGTTCCTTGTACCTACTATTCAACTTTCAAACATACAAATTAAAAGTTTGCAGTTTAAATCCCGAAGAGAATATAAAAATATGAACAATTATTAAGTTTTCTGTTTTGTAATTCAATCTATATCAAATTATAAAATTAAGAC